TGCCCGTCTGTTCGCATCGTCCGGTTGTGGTTCTCACGGCGGCGGCGGAGGAGGAGGTTCTTCACCTTCTGGCACCTTCTTCACGGGGTGTTTTTTTTTTAACTTCACGGTCGCTCGACTTGCTGCCTCTGCTGCTGCGCTTCTGCTGCCGCCCGGTAGTTCCGGCAAGGGCTCGGTCGTCCTTTCTCAGTTCATTCGTCGAAATTGCAGGTTGGTGACGTCAAAACGTGTAAAAAAAAGGGAGAGAGAGAGCAAGAGAGAGAGAGAGAGAGAGTGAGTATCCACACGCTAAGTGGCGCAGCCTGGTGGTGATTCCTGTACTTCCTGCACTAATTAAGCCAATTAATTAATTTTCAGTCTAAACATTTTGAGGAAATTCCCCAAAAATATTACATTAAATATGGGAATTTAATATAATGTTGTATTATTATTACTAGTAGTAGTAGTACTAGTAGTAGTAGTAGTAATATTTTACCTTTTTACTAACAAAATGTACATACAAAATCATTACAATTCAAAATATTAAAATTTAAAGGTCTTAACATGAATATTTAAAATTATTATTATTATTATTAGTAGTAGTAGTAGTAGTAGTAGTAGTAGTAATTGTAGTAGTGGTGGTGCCATCAATTTCTCGTATAATTTTATATTGTTAAAAAACATTTAAATGTGAAACTGAAACGGTTGTTTGAGTCAGATGTTGTTGTCGCCACAGATGTTACAGCCGTTGACATCTCACGTTTGTTTGTTTACTAGCGTATTTTGCCTGTATTTAGGTGATGTATACTGTGACCTCTGACCCAACTGTAAACACATTTTCTTTCCTGAGCACATAAATATATATATATTTATGTGTGTGTCGTGGCTCAACAAAGGTTGGGAAACATTGGTTTAAGATGTGATATTTTTTGACAACAGTTTTCTTGTCATTGACACTTGTTGCTGGTTCTGTGGTTCTGGATCTGGATCTGGACTGGACTGGACTGGACTGGATCTGGACTGGATCTGGACTGGACCTGGACCTGGACTAGACCTGACCTGGACTGGACCTGGACTGGACCTGGACTGGACTGGACTGGATCCTGCGGTTCCCCTGACTCCACATGGACCGTAGGCTTCAGTTTCTCTCAAGGTTCTCATTTATTCCCACACAAAACCCTCTCAGCAGCGGTTTCTAACACGTGGCCTGCAGCCTGCTGAGTGTACACTATCCACTGCTCAGCGTGCAGTGACTGTGAGCCAACACAGTTGATGTTGCAGTAACTGAGGCGTTTGTTAACCGGCCACATCCTGTTTTTTTTTTAACTGACAATTTCTCACCGCGACAATGATGTTAATCTGTGACCGTTTATATATATATATATATATATATATAATTCTGTTTGAAAATGTTATTTTAATTTCATTCAATCATTCATGTCAATTATTAAAATCTATCTATCACCACTAGCTCTACACTGACATCATTGGTTTCAACTTCACTGAAGTATTTGCAGCACATTTAGGACCAGTGTTTACAGGAAGTCATGTGACATCCAGTCTAGAACAGACAACAAACAACTTTTTTTATTTTTTATTTTACCTTCTAATTACTAGGTTGCGTTGCACTTGTAATAATATTCTGATCACGCTCAGGCTCTCTCTCTCTCTTTTTAACACTCTTCCTCATACTCTCTCTCTCTCCCTGACTGTGCACAGGTGTGTGTTCCAGACTAATCCAGCAGGTGTAGCTCATCACAACAATCCAACCTGCAGTGTTGACTCCCATCATCCGTCTCTTTGCCCCCAGACTGTATTGCCCCTCTCCTTGACCAGACCAATGTCCAAAATACAGATAATCAAATGCACAGCGGTCGTGACTTCCTTTTCCTGTGTCTCTCGTTTGCCGTGAAGGAAACGTAAAGGACACAGCTACGGTTACACAAGAGGACCAACACACACACACACGTACGCACTTTACAAATAACAATGTGATGCAACTCTTCCGAGCAGGATGTAACCAGTTTACTGTTGCCCCAGACTGACCGTGGAATTTACAGATTTAGGACAGAATCGGCAACAGCAAAATATTCTGCATTGCATTAAATCGAATGTTGTCAAAGTTAAATGTTTGCCGTGACAACACGGTTGGTGTAAATAAAACAAAATGTGACAAACGCTCAATTTAATACAGTAATCATTTGGAGCTGGTGGTCATTTATTTATTCATATTCATATTTGTTCTTTTGTTATACGTCAGTATAACAAAAGAACAAATATGAATATGAATTTTACTGTTAGGGTTCAATAAATGCATATATATATATATATATATATGTCAACTAATGTGGGAGACATCGCAAAAGTTTGAGGAAGAAGTTAAGAACTGAAGTAAAAGGGGAAGGTTAGCAGGGAGGTGCTGCGATGGTGACATCGCAAAAAGTGAGTTTGGGTAAAAAAGAGGAAACGAAAAGTTAAAAGAGAAAATGACTGAAAACATTACGCAGTCATGTGACTACAGATTTCAAAGGTTCTACAAAAACCTAAAGCTCACATCTATTTTTTTATTATTACGCTCAAAATAAATAAAAAAAGTACCAGGAGCTGGAGGGTACTGCCCCCTGTGGGATTTCGAAAACACCCAAAAACAACAACACACCCACTCCTGACAGTTCTGGACAGTCAGTCATGTTGATGAAGTGACAGTGACCAGTGACAGCAGCTCTGTATCTGGTCACCAAATTTATAAAATAAAAATAAAATAAAACAAGGTAATGCTATGTCTAATTACCCAACGTTTCATTATTGATGTGGATAATGACTTCCATCAGTGCGGGGCGGTGCACGTGGGTGGGCAAAACTATTGTTTGTTTGTTTGAGGTCCTGCGTGAGGAGTCACAACAAACACAACACATTTTTACAGTTGATTTAAAAGCAGCGAGTTGTTGAAGTCTATAAATAGAACTGGAGCCACGGCAACAGAAGACAGAGATATGGAGTATATTTATATATATATTTATATATATGTGTGGAGCATAAATGACAATTTAACAGAAATTTAAACTGCTCTGTTCTGGTCCCGTTGACCAATCAAAGAGCTCTGATCTGTGGGTTTTCCCACTGCCTTCTAACATCAAGGCCAGAGTGGATGCAAATGACCTCTAATGGAACCCACGACCCTCTAGGTGCAGGACAACTCCACTGCAGCCCCCTGCCACCCCCCCACCATCATACTACATTTAGTGCATGTGTTAAATGAAAATGAATGGGATTTAATGGTAGGAATCGAACATATCACAGCTCAACGTTAGGAAAAACCATGAAGTAGAGACGCGATAATTATTATAGCATTTAGGTATATATATATATTAACCCTTATATATTAACCCCCCAAAATTGTATATATCGCAAAAACACCCACAATAAATGGAAAAATCCACGATTCAAAAATACATTTAAAATATCACGACAGCCAAACATACATCAACTGTTCAAATGTGAATTAATTTTCCAACTGATATTCGTGCTTCAGTACTTTCACCTCACTCTGCAGTAGTATGTAGTACACGTACATGACCTGTACTGGTTGTTCTCGTTCCTGAGGAAACATTGTACAGACGAGAGTCTTCCAGGGAGGGGTTAAACTGCAGAGTGATGCTTGGTGGAGCAGAGTGAGAGGAAAGGTGCACAGGGAAAACAGAAGGCCTTCCAAACAACATTCAGTCTGAATAATGCAGCAGTGAGGAAGAGAGAGAGGGAGAGAGGGAGGGAGGGAAGGAGGAACAAGTCTGACAGGAGACGCTGTAAGGAAAGATGTTACTGTAGTAAAGTGGTGGGGGAAAAATATGAAAGGTTCTCAGTGACAGGGAGAAAAGTCACGAAGGAGAAGAAGTGGGAAGAGAAATGTTTCAAATTTGGAAGACACGAGGGTGGGGGGGTGGCAGGGTGAGGTGGGGGGGGTGGATGAAGGAGGCAGTCGACAGGCCGGAGGAGAAAAGGAGCCCAGAGGTCAGAGAGGAGATGGCCGTGGAGACAGGCGGGGCAGGGGGACGAGGCCGGCTGTAGGAACACACAGACAGGAAGCACTCATGCACAGAGCGACGGGTCGGGAGGAACTTAATGGACTTTCTGACAGTCCTCCAACTCACCATCTTCCTAGCAAACACCGAGGCTAAATTAAACGTTAAACACTTTTACACAGATAGAACATTTTATACCGTATTTCACAGACTATAAGTCGCACTTTTTTTTTTACATCCTTTGTCTGGGTTTGCAACTTATGCTCAGGTGTGACTTTTAATTTTACATGTTTGTTATTTTCACGCTAGAGGGCACTGTTGCGAATAATAGTCTGGAAAATACGGTAATTGTCCACACAGTTCCAGCCTCGCGCCGCAGACAAGAGTTTCACTGATTCGTGTCAACATGGACTCCTGTCAGTGTGGAGAGACGCTGACAGAACAGTCCTGTGGAGGCTTCGCCCCAGGAGGATTCAAAGCTGTCATACTCACACAGCAATGAAGACCCATGTGTTTCTATGGAAACCTGGCCTGTGGATGAAGAATGAAGTCCCAAGGCGGTGGTACAGAAGGAGCCGGAGGTCAGGATGGGAAGAAAAAAAAGAAAAAAAAAAACTTCCTGAGCTTTTACACAGAATGCTGAAACTCCCACAGTTCATGGTTTGTGACCTGTGACATTTGCAGAAATGAAGAAGTAAAGTTGGTAATTCAAAAGAAGGAAACACTCAGGTTTACTCCGTCTGAAAACAGAAGAATGAATTATCACCACAGACAGATGGCGCTAACAGCCAGGTTATAACTGGAAAACTGTGAGGTTTAAAATCAGAACTCCAGCTCTGGTGTAATTGGACGAAACAGGAGGCATCAATCTGTGTTTCGTCTTGGGGGTAGAGGGTCGGAAGGTTGTGATGGCAGTGAGCACCGACTCATTACTGTATGTGAAAATCTTTGTTTTCTAAACTCAGATACTCAGACACTCTTTACATCTGAGCTCTGGTAAATAATTAGAGTCAAAGGTCAGTAATTTTCATGACTTTTGTGGTAAACGTGCCACAAACCGACTAACAAGCTTCTCATTTCCTGTCAAGCTAATGTAATATCTAACACATTCCAAAGGATGGTGGTTAAAAAATACTGTATAAATACAAAAACAACTTTGTGTCCTGACTGAAAGGAGAAAACACCAGACAGCCATTCCAACAGCAACACTCTCAGGTTGAAGGCCGGTTAAAAGGGAACAAATCAAATTTCAGAAGCTTCACAAATGGACCATGTGCTCCATCAGGAGAGTAAGTGGAGAGGAGAGCGGCTCGAATGTGTAACAACGAGAAGAAAGAAGGAAAAGAGAGGAGAAAAATAAAGGAGACGCTTCCCAACCGTCACCGTCTCTCTGTGCACATACCGTAATTTCCGGACTATCGAGCGCCACTGAATATAAGCCGAACCCACTTAATTTAAAAAGACAAAAACAAAAGAATCACACTATGATGAGAGAAGCTGAGTTCAGTTCATAAACAGGCTGCACTTCAGTGTGAGTTTCTTTAAAATACTTTTTTTTGTTCCCAAGTGCATTGTCAAATTGTCTGTCATGTCTATTTATTATTTTAAGGTATTTAATATTTTGAAATGGTGAGAAAACATGTTGGACTTTGAATAAATCAAACTCAATACCAATGTTCTTGGTGGGGGGGCAGTGAAGGAAGAAAATAAAACAACAATACAAATTTAAAATGTTATACTTTAAGGCATATAATGAAATCATAAAATCATCATTAAAATAACACACTGAAATTGAAAAAAAAAAAAAAGAATTGAAAATTCAACGTATTTGCACTGGTTCACACTGTTTCACTGACATAAACACCTCTCAAAGGTCACATTACTGCTGTAACACACAGAACTCCAAAAGTGTTGGCCAACTTTTAATTGTCGTGATATATTTGTTTATAACAAGCACCAAAAGTATCTTTGTACATGTTTGAAACACAAGAAATCACTTCCACAAGCAGGAACTCCCTCTCACACCACAAACAATAAAGTGCTGGAGCCAAGAACTCACCGATCACATGCAACTGGCCTAACAGTGGAGGTGGAAAATATATGTACAGTGTAATATATGTCAGTGTCAGAGCACAAACGCTTTGAGGCTAATTATGAAAAAACGTGGACGAGCGTCTTCTCCCATGCCGACAGTGGTCACAGTGGCCACACAGCCCATGGCTAATTGGTTCATTTAAATACTGAAATATAAAATGAAATATTGTATATGCAATGTGTATGTGTGTGAGTACATACATATACATATATGTGTGTATATATATATAAACATATTTATATATGTATACATGACATATATGTATATATGTTGTATATATGTCAGATATGTATATATACAAACATATTTATATGTATGTCATATATATGTATATATATAAACATATTTATATATGTATATATGTCATATATGTATATATATACACATATTTATATATATATGTCTTATATATGTATATATATATATATATATATACATATATTTATATATGTCATATATATGTCAACATTACCTAAAGAAGCCATTTATATGTTGTTCTTTTAACAAATGTAATTAAAGCGGTCTGCAGAGCAGGGACTACTGGGGGTGGA